AGCCGCGGGGAGATGCAGGGGGCTGCTGCTCCCGGAGGGGCTGCCCGGTCAGTAGACGGACTAATAATACCTGCTGTGCGCTTAGCAGGTTGTCATGGTTTAACCCCAACCCATTCACTCCTCCCGGGTGAAGCACCTCCTTGCACAAGGGCGGAGAGGGCAGTTGCTGCAGGCAGCTGCACCCCGAGGTCGCAGGCAGGACAGCAGCGCTGAGCTGCCTCACGGGACAGCGCGGGTGGTAGCAAAGTGTCTGCGCCAAGTCGTGCTCCTGGCAGACGTCCACCTTCTGCTGAAGACACTTCCAGCCTGTGCGGCCAGGGAGCCAGGGGGGAGCCAGAGCAGGGAGCCTACCCTATCGCTCGGCCACGTGGCACTGGCAACAAAAGATGGTGCTGAAAGGGTCATAATTTAAAAAACAGCTTTGCGGACCAAAACCAAGGGGAGAAGGCAGCCCCAGTAAGGCCAATTGCAGTGTCGCCTTCATGCTTGTGGCAGAGGACACCTGGACACCCAGGAAAGCGTGGTGGGAGCGCTGTGACTGCTCCCTGAGCCCTCCTGCACCAGCCCCAGGACGCAGCCCAGGCTGCAGGAACAGGCAGTCTCCCCTGCAGGTCTGCAGGGCACTGCTTATGAGCACAGCACTGAGCGTTCAGCACCTTCATCCCTGCATTGCCCTGCTGATCCTGGCACCATCCAGCTTAGTTCGGGTCCTCTAGAAAGGATGAAGAGAGATTCCCCAGATTTGCTGGCTGTGATTCAGGGCTGTTCTGGGAGAGGGTGCATTCGGGCCAGGAGCTAAATCAGCACTGCAGCAGGCACAGACCCTGCAGGCAGGGGCCAGAGTCTCAGGGTTTTGGACTCTCTCAACACTTCAGTGAAGGTATGGACTGCCCATAGCAGACAGCGTGCTTAAACCTACAGCAGTCTCCTGCTTACTGGAAGTAAGCTTGCTTCCCTTAGCAACCTTTGCTGGCTCTCCGGACGTAGTCCGCTGACACCAGGGTGGAAAGCACAGCAGGCAGGCTGTGGCCCTGGCATGCCAGGCGGCTCTAGCAGTGCTGGGGGCGGGGGAGGAACTTGTCCAAGTGTTTCATTGTGATCAGCAAATGCTTTTTACCAGAGTGTCTCTCCCTGGGAAGACATGGGTCAGTAGCCAGCTGATGGCAGGGGCAGGAGCAGTGTGGGAGGCTGGGGCAGGCTGCATCCCATATACGACGAGTCAGCCTCTGAACTGGAGCATCTCAACATGGCACAGATATGTGTGCGGGCCGGGGGAGCAGCCCTCAGCCTGCACGGCCTGGGACAAGTTCCCGCCTGGAGCAAACACCTCCTTGCACTGGTCCAGCCTGGAGCCAAGTGCTTCCCTATGCAGAGCAGACAATGTAAGCCCTACCTCCCTTTCTTTCTGCAAAGCGCAGGAAGCCACAAGCAGTAGCCAAGCCGTAGGCGAAGGGCCAACACACATTCCTTGGCCTGCAGACACAGGGGAGGAGGCGGCAGCAGCGACAGCACTCTGCATTGCAGCATGGGGGGCTGCCAGCGCCCTGTGCAGACGCTCAGCCCAGGAGGAGGACCTGAGCGCCAGGAGGGTGCCAGGACTCGCTGCTGGTGATGGTGGCCAGCTGTTGCTCCCACCGACCCAGACCTGCACTAGCCCCAGCTCCTCTTCTTCCACGTGGACACCGCCCCCCCGAGGCAGCACCCCTTCTGGGAGAGGAGACAGTCATCCCTAGGGCTGCGGGACCCCCTCCAGCCACCAGCCAGGTCTCCTGGGCTGACAAGGGCCAGTCCTGTCACACTGAGGCAAATGGAGGCACCACCTCCCAGCAGGACAGACCTGGCCAAGGAGAGCGCTGTAGGCGTCCTGCCCTGCCAGCCCCACTATGAGCACAGAACAAGCACAAAGTCTGGCTAAAGTGCGAATGAGACCAGGGGGCAGCCTCCCCCTAAGCTGATTAGAGGAAAGCATCCCCCTAATACAATGAACTGCGCCAGAGCAGTGCGGTTCCCACCGGCTGCAGATCGGGGTCAACCAATCTCCTGCCCCGTGGCATCTAGGGGGTGGAGGGATGGGGGGTCATGGCGCCTGGCTGGGGCCCAGGGGCCAGACACACCAGGGCTCCCGCGGGCTGTGTGCCCTGCCTCCCCTGCTCGCTGCACAGGCAGACACCGGTGCTGGGCAGAAGGGGCAGCGGGAGCAGCCACCCTCCATTTGGGCTGGTGTTGGGGAAGCCCCAGGGAGGAGAAGGGGAGCAAGACCCCCTCTCCGTGGCCTGGCCGCCCTGGCAGCTCAGCACACAGGCTCCTGCCAGCTGCCTGTGCCCCAGTATGGGGCTGTGCTGCTGCCACTCGCCCGGCAAGCTCTCCCAACCCCAGGGCCCTGGTACATGGCTGATAAGGAGCCGCACCCTAACAGCCAGTCCAGATTTGCTCACAGACTCTTGTCCTTGTGGCAATGTCAGCCCTCAGCTCAGACTGCTCTCTGCCCTCACTGTGCGATGCCAGTGACTGCCTTCCCGCTCCCAGCTGGCCTTTGCTGGTGTGGACAAGCAGAGCAGCTTGACCTCTCTCCCTGGAGCTCCCCTGCCCACACCTGCCCTGAGGGTGTCTGTGGGGCAAGGGCACGAGTGCTGGGGTCCCCTGGCCCCAAAGGACTCATCGGTCTCTCCTCCTGCAGTGCTGAGTACCCTGACCTGCGGAAGCACAACAACTGCATGGCCAGCAACCTGACGCCAGCCATCTATGCCAGGCTCTGTGACAAAGCAACCCCAAATGGCTGGACCTTGGACCAGTGCATCCAGACGGGTGTCGACAATCCCGGCCACCCTTTCATCAAGACTGTGGGCATGGTAGCTGGCGATGAAGAAACCTATGAGGTGAGTAGCGGCCAGAGCCCTACCATGCTCCAGGCTCTCCAGGGTGCCTGCAGTAGCCAGAGGAGTCCCAGTAGCTGCAGTACATCCAGCAGCCTGGGATGTTACTGCCTACCTCCTCCTGCCCAACCTGGGCAGCTGGAGAGGCCCCTTGGCCAGCCCCAGCGTGTCCCTGTGGGACACAGGGCTCCTTCAGGTCAGCTGTTCCTAGAGCCCTGCAACCTCCTCCTCCTTGCCCCTGAGCCCCATTTGCCCAGGCAGTGTCAGCCCCATGGATTGCCATTGCATTGCAGGACACACCGTGGCCCCCAGACACCCTCTGCAGCCCCCCTGCTGCCACATCCCCCGCGCTGGCAGCGGGACTGTGCTGAGCTTGTGGCAGGGGCTTCATGGGGTGCTGGGTCTGCAGTGCTGCACATCATCCCACTTGCTTCCAGGTGTTTGCTGACCTGTTTGACCCCGTGATTCAGGAGCGGCACAATGGATACAACCCCCGCACCATGAAGCACGTCACAGACCTGGATGCCACCAAGGTACGCGAGCCGGGCAGTGGCGCTGCT